TTATATAGGCCTTGAACCGGATACAATTTCTGAATTCTTTTCACTTGCTTTTTAGAAATATGATAATCTTATCCAGAAAATTAATATGTAAAAGTCCATATAAGTGGTCGAAATTCTCCATGTTTACTCACATAAATATCGGACGTCTTTAAGCAATTGCAAGTATCTGAAACCAATGCCATAAACTAATAAAAGAAACGGAACTTTTCTGAAGTTAACCGGTTCCTTAAGTATAGACACGTCGAAGCCATTGCTTTGTAGTCAAGTTTCGCTACCGTCAAATATGAGCCCATTTTTATACCCTGCACAGGATATATTATGTTTACCATGAATTTTGTAACAGCTCAAAGCCGACATGACGAGCTGAGTCGATTTAGCCATGTCCGTCTGTCTGTATATACACGAATTAGTCCCTTAGGTTTTGAGATATTGATCTTAGCACACTTCTTTTCTCACCAAGAAGCTGCTCATGTGTCCTCGTTACTCGAACTCTACCCGACCCATTCGAAAAACCTCTAACCCAGAAAGTCTAATACATATGTTGCAAGAAGCTATTACCTCATGAATATTAACTATCTCTCATACAGATATTGGCCTAACTTCTAAGCAATCGTTTCGAATGTTGCACATAGAATTTACCGTTACACAAATGCACACGACATAAACTAAACTTAATGTTAATTATCTCCGTTTCAACTACTATAAAGGCATAAAAGTACTTGTGCTAACTGTGAAGCTGAATGAATTTACTTGTATGCATTTACATGTATGTATGTATATTTTTGTATGCAGGCATATTTACCGTTACATTTCATTCCAAAACTTGTACATTTAATCATTTGCGATGTACCTTTCTAATTTATATCACATATAACAGTACTTGAAGTGAATAACGGCCATTCAAATTAAAGGAACTTTTATTTTGGCCCACTCAAATCATTTGCAGACATACAAATGCACACAGTGACCCACTAATTAACTGTAAAAATGCCATTAAATACGGCAAATTGCAAGCATTGAATTGGATATTGCTCATACGTCATGTACAACCTAAAACCCACAATACAGAATATGCACACACACAGCCTCGTTTATGTGCGCATGCATGAGTGCGCTCAAGTGGTGACTAGTTTATTGATACATATGTCGAAGCATTCAATAGTTTACCGCTGCAAATGACTGTTGTTACGTATGTATGGTATATATGTATATTAAGGTTATACATATATTAATTAGGGTGTCCATTATTTCCAAAGTTGATTATTTTTTGGTAAACAGCCTCCGAAATTTCAAATTTTGCCCTTAAAAAAGGATTAAACGTAAATAAGTTTTAAAACGTTGTACACCATGGCGTATGAGCAACTCGCGTTATTTTTGATGCATAAATTTAACTGAGTATAACTTTTGAAGGAGTGGTTATATGAAAAAAGCAGCAAGACCTTTTTTGTAGGTTTTCTTCGGTGATTATACCATTTCCTTAGGCAACAATCCCGTCGAAATTTCTTGAAGATATTAAGTCGAATAAAAAGCTTTACTTACAAGCACTCTATTCCGGTCGATCAGTTTGTATGACAGCTATATGCTGTAGTGGTCCGATATTGGAGATTCCGACAAATGCGCAACTTCTTGGTGAGAAAAAGTTGGGAGTGAAATTTCAAATTGATATCTCGAAAACTGAGGAACTAATTCGTATATATGTATACAGACGCACAGACAGAGGGACATGGCTAAAACGACTTTACTCGTTAAGCTGATTTTGTTATAAATATACTTTATAGGGTCTTTGAAGTTTTCTTTGTGTGTTAAGAACATAAAAATATACCCTGTTCAGGGTATTAAAATCAACTTGAGAAATAACGAACACCCTACTAAATATATATATACCTATAAAATCTGCCTATATATGTACATACATACAACTGCATTTTATTAAGTATTACTCTTCAACTTGTCGTCGTTTTTGACAACCACACACACATAGATAACTACATGTTTACAAATTCACATACTCACATATAATACTCTCCTATTTGGCCGTTTTGTCCACCCACTTGTGTGCACACGAATTGCTAGTTGCTAAATGTGCAGCAATTTTGCCAAAACTAAATGGCAATTAAAGTGAACATTTGTTTAGTTGCCGTCTAAAAACCAAAATGAAAATTGCAAATGGAAAACAGCAAATAGAAAATGCAAAAAATGAAAATAATTGAAAACGATTTTTCCAATGAGCCAAAACTAGCGCAATACTAAGACTTAGCTGCCGTTTTGTGCAGCGCCAAACGAATGTGTTTTCATCAAAAACCAAAACTAACAGCAGTTTTTGGGTGATAAAAATTTGTTTCGGAAAAAAGAAGTCAAGAAGAATATATATTGTAAACAAAAAGAAGTAACTCGAAAGTATGCAATTTTGAATGAAACGCTGAAGCAGTCAAAATTGCAGTCGAACAGTTTAGTTGACTGATGCAGTGTGTGTGTTAGTAGCAGCTTTATAGTGGTGGATACATATTCTTAAAATATATAAATATGCATAATGTATATTCTAAAGTGTTACATAATATATGTTTTGAGTTAACCCAATTAACAAAAAACCTGTTTAAACCTAGTTTCTTGTTTGGAATGGACGCGACCACGCTTCACTCATAATCACTAGAGGGTACAGCAGCCTACCCAACTACTATGTGTGGCCTCATCTGTCTTAATTTCCTTTCAAAGCTTTATATTGTAGTAGTTCTCAAAGCTACCAGATTAACTATAGGGTTTAAACAAAGCCCACCCAAAACCTACTTCGTCGAGTCAAATTACCACCTTGATTCAAACTTGAAATCGAATTCCATCTCAGCTACAACCTCTTCGCGCTATATGTTAATAGATATTTGATGAACACTTTTCTTAAACTAGCTCCTAAAAGCATTCATGATCTCACTAGTTAGTTCGTCTAACTATCGCAACCGCCGTTTAAGTGAAACACAAGCCTTTAAAACTAGGACGAGATATGAATATAGAGCGAATCGAGCTAAAATATTGAGTTCTTTAGAAAAGACTCCTTTTAGAGTCGAATTTCAACATTTATATGTTGCATCGGCAAGACAAATGGGAAGCTACAAAAGTTAGATTCAATGACTGATCCTTAAGATGGGATCGCATATATGTATATTTTGCTCTTTGTGAAACCATATAATAAAACTCAGATCTTACAAGTCGGCAAAGAAAACCAATAGAAATCCGCTTATGCGTATTATTCCAATTGCCACCAGCCCACCATAATTGAAAATAAAATAGTAAGAAGTGAACTCCACTAGCAGGGAGAGAGTACCCGTAGATATGAGATGGATTCAGATTCAGACGCTAGTTTTAGAAAGGCTAAACTTGCTTATCTGTCATAAAGCTTATTTTTCCATACCCGAAGTATCAAGTTGCACTAGAAGTTCGACGATCTTCCGGCTGCTTCAGAATAAATAAATGAATAATAATAAGCCTTAGACATTTTAAATTAATGTTTCTATTATAGCTTAGGAGAGCGGAAGCTATATAGAAATCAACTGTTAATAAAAAATACTCGGGTAGTCAGGAAAGCAATCCCTCTAAGATGCTAAAACGATGCAGCATATTCAAGGTTGGCTTGAATAAATGGACAAGGGGAACAACGCAAGCCTCGGAATACTAACAACACAGGCCATACCACAAAATGTATTTTAGGATAGTGTTGATAATAAAAAAACCAATCTGCTGCTACTTTTAAGTAAGAGGGAACAAAGTAACATCATAGAGGTCATCTACCTCTAAGATCACATCGTCAGAAAATTGGATTCGGCGGAATGCGGCGCACGAACGGAGGATGATGAGACGCTGGAACAGTACCTTTCTGAAGCGGTTGAGTAGGGATAACTTCCACGGCATTCAATGTTCTAACTTAAAAAAATTGGTCAGCTGGGGCGAAAAAATAGGGTATTTCATCAAATTCACTGAGTTGCTAGATAATGCTTATTTAGTTGCGGCCTAATGATGGCTTAAGTGCGGCGCTCCTATGTCGCCCTTTTCACCCAACCAACCAAATATTATTGAAAACACCAGTTTAAAAGATATGAAACTTTCTGGTGGTCATAAGCTTTATCAATGAACATGTAAGATTTAGGAGATCAAGTTTTTAAAGCACTCACCCGAGTATATTTGCCTGAAAATATATACGCTCGAGTCACAACGGAAGTGAGACTCTCCAATGAAATTCGGATGCTTTAATAACACAGCAACAATAACACAGAATTCCTTTAGATATTTGAAAGGGTTTATTATACTGTGCAGCTTACTTATGCTCTGTCATTTCTACATACTTATAGCTCGACAAAAATTGCACGATTTTAATTAAGTCATACACACTCCAGAGGCTTTGTGTGGAACCTTTTCTTTAGAGATGCTTCACAAATATGGCAATGCATTTTTTGTAGTTGAAACCCCCATTTTCAAAAATATTACTCCACTTCTGTGATAGAGGCTGCACTCTACTTATGATTTGTTCTTTCAAACTTCGTAACAAATATTTGATGTTAAGAAAGATTTCAGATATTTTGGAGCAGGCGACTAACACCGTATGCTTTTTTTAGTTTTATTGGTTCGATTGCCAATTAAAAATTGTTTACTAAAAGCATTAGGAGTTCTGTGCGTGCTTTTTAAATATGGATCACTCTAAACTTTAGATCGTTAGAAAGTTTCGATCAATATTAAGGTGTAATCATCTACATTACCTCACTGGGTAACGTCAACATGTAACATGCGGTTCGCCATAAATTAGTTTTCCACCTAGATAAAAGAACTACAACAACGACGTCAGCTAAAACAAATTGTTCGAATAGATTCCGAAATGGAGTAAACTAAAATCCCGACGATTAATAGACAAAAAGGTAAAAAAACTCTATGAACTACAAACACAAGCAAATTTGCGCATGTATGTGTGTACAGGCAATGTAATACCTAGTAGTATACTATGTGTATTTGTTACAACTTACCGCTGTGTTGATGGTCGCCCAGCTATCCAGATGGCAAACAATGATATCATAAAACTGGCAAAATCTGTTAGTAAGTGAGCGGCATCTGTTGCAATTGCCAAACTGTTCGATAAAATGCCACCTGTTTGTTTGTGTGGCAAGCCAGTGTGAAACCAGCAAACGACAACAACAACGCAAAATTTGGGGCGTCACGCCACATCAGCAGCATAGTTGAAGACACAGCCGCAGCGTAAAGGCGACGCATCGTTGGGCAAATCAATCGATGGGTGGCATGAAAGGGAGAAAGAAAAAATAAAATAAATAAAAAAGTAAATACAAAATTTTAAAGGGTGATGAAAAATGGATGATCGATATAGTAAAATATACTTAGTATGGGGTTTAAGAAATACTATTTCACAGCAAATATTCACCTGAGATTATGAGCAGAATACAAATATATAGCCAAGGTTCAGAAATACATTGCGATTTCTTAAAGGTTTCAGAGAGTTGTCAAGGAATTATTTACTTTTAATATGGGCTAGTCTGTCACTTTCTAACACACTTTAATACTAACGGGGTTCTCTCGGTCACATCCAAATAGTTTAGTTTTTCCTAAACTTTTACATATCTACTGGGTTCGCAAGGGATAATTCTCACAGCCTTATTGAAATACTTTTATGATTGTCTGGGCTAGCCTGAATGCTTCTTCTTGACGCATGCGAGCGGGATAGTACGCACTTTTAAAGGCGTCTAAAGATATCCCTAGACTACATATATCACTTGAGCCTGAGTATTTTCTTTTTATATTTCTGAAATCATGGACCGGATTTTTGGGTTTTTTGGTTGGTAAAGTACATTCTAATAATTCATGCAATTAAGGTGCTCTTATGACTGTTTTAGAGTCTGGTAAGTACCTAAACAGTCAAGCATGCAACTGGTTCTGGATACATTCGAGTTCCAATTAAATCTCATGTGGTCCGGGTTCAAACTTTAAGGTTAGAGGTTAAATTCAAGGTCTCAACAAATACAGTTCTTTTTTTTAGAAAAAGTCGGTCGGAAGATTCTTATATGAACTATTATTCTTCCGAATAACGAATGTTGACTACTTTTTTTGATTGGCTTCGTAAAGGAGTGTTTGTTTCCTCGATAGAGCTTCAACATTTCGAACATGTCAAACTCTGGACGTCAACTGTCAATATGTCTCTTACGAAAAACCCTGCAACTATTTAGCAAAACATCAAAGCTTTTAGCCGAAAACAAACCAACGAACATAACGGCAGTTTGATGGCACAGCTGCCAGGTTGACGTGACTAACTCGCTGCACTGCTACCGATAAGCATAAAGATACTTGCGAGCTGCCCTGTCAATTGTCAGGCGGTCATTACGTTGATCAGCCATTTTGTTGACTATAGACTTACACAACCTAACCGGGCATTTCACAAAACGTCTTTTCTTTTTTTTTTTTTGCCACAATTTTTAGTTAACAAGTCACTTTCTTGCTTGGTTAGTTGCATCTTCGGTTACTGCAGTTATTATTTTGTTGTTTTTTTCTAATTCTATATAGTTTTTGTTGTTTTCCATTTTCTCAAAAGTTATTGAATTTCACCATTTCACATCGTACATAGTCGGTTTTTAGTGCTACAACGAAAAGGTGGAGTTGGCAAAATTGTTGATAATGACGGCAGCCGAAATTGCAACTATTCGGACATTCTTACACAGTCCACGTCACGTCGCTTGGCTTGTCTGCCGTTGTTGAGCGAAAGTATGCCAAATTGCTTGAAAGCCAAAAGTGGTCGCTGTGTAGAGATATTTGACGTTTCATTCGACAAGCTACATGCAAAGGGTAGTGATCGTCGGTTTAAGGAAATACTCGTACGTACAATATATTGATAATCTCGCCCTTTTTTCGAGCGCTGACAAGCAGCGAAACGAGCTAAGCTCATCAGCATTAAGAATGGTAGAGTTAGAGTAAATGTAATTGATAAGAAGCTAATGGAGAGGAGTGGGTTGGATGTAAGTGAGGAGAAATAGTAGTATACTAATTGATATACAGTGAAATATTATACAAGAAGTGGGCCAAGAAAGCTTTCAAATTGGTGATAGAGACCCTTTGCCACACACAAACTATAAAAGGTAATAGAAGGTTTGAAACACATGGAAGTCAAAAAGTAGTATCCAAACCAGTGAGCTTCTTAGAGTCCTAATCGAAATCGGCGTCAGCAGGAATAGCGTAAGAGTTAACCTTTCTTGATTGCGCAATATGCAAAGAAAAAAGGCGAAAAGCCTCAACTCTAAACAATGACCTAATAAAATCAACCTTTGAAGAAATAAATGATAAAACCTAGCGGTATTTCTGGTACGCACTTCGGTATGTATATATATATAATAGCAGTGTTAGGAGAATATACGAGTAGACGATCTAAGTATCAAAGAAGCTTATTATCTACTCAAACCAAGACTTGGATATGAATTAAACAAAAAGATCACAATGAATGCTGTGGATGATCCCAAGTGGGGAATCCCATTAGCGGAAACAGATAAAATAAGACAATAAAGTTTTTGAGATCTCCGTAAAGGAAGTTTGAAATCAAACTTAAAACAGCATACGAAGGGCTTGCAGCAAAAGTCACAAAAGAATCGAAGACGTCGCAATAAAAGTTGACTTAATTAGCTTTCTATGAAAATTATTTATATTTTCCTCGTTTAAAATCACTCTATTCAAAGATTCTCTCTGAGAGAATATGAGAATATAAAAAGTTTTATTTAAGAACTAATTAGAATAAAACGAGGCAACATTTATTCCAAATATGTCCATTTTTATCTAATAGCGCCTTTACTATTATAAACTTGAATTTTTTTCCAGTTTTGATGTTCATATTTAAACACTATTCATAAGAAGAGAGTTCACCACAAGAAAACCTCTTCTTTAAACCGAAAACTCAGGGTTTCTTAAACGCTAACGGTGTTTATTAACACAAAATCTTAAACTCGAGTTTGCGGTACGACTGCAACATATATAAGACGGCATTCATCACAAAAACCATATCAAATTTGTTAAAACTTAAGGGTCCATCCTTCTCTATTTGAACTCATTGATCGGTTGCACATAAGCCTTCGCTTCTACTACATAGCAGAGGCGACAAGAAGGTTAAAATATGGTTAAAAAGTAAAAGGTAAATACTCATTTCATTTCTGGTTTAACTTTAGCTAGCTGTGAGGCACCCTACAAGTATTTCACTGGCTATGAATGACGGGTTAATTTTATGAGTTGAGTAGATTTTTTATGTCGAAGATAATTATTTTAGGGTCCGCAATAGGCCTACCCATATTATGTACGACTACTTTGAAACTGAGTTTCTTGGGATATTTGCTCAGTTCCATTACGACACGGTGGCCGCTCTTACCTTCAGAAAACTCAGATTCACGAAAAGCTACGGCTCTTTTATCAAGAGATAAGAATTTTAAAGCATTCTGAGGAGGGCCTTCTGGGAGTTTTCAGTATTAATATGAATTTGGTAAGGCAGCCTTATTCTGACAATTTTCACATCTGTTAGAGATAGACTAAATGGAACCTCCCTTACTTCATATAAAATCTGGTCAAAAGAAATCTTTTATAATTCCAATAGATGATTTAGTTAACTTTATATCATGTTGTATAAGTGCAAACCCATTACGCTATATGAATATAAGCACACACTCACAAAGAATATATATCAGAAAGTTTTATGTCTGCTTGACAAAGAATTTTTTGAGCACGCATCAAATAAGGACAACATAAAAAGAGAATCGCCATATTTTACGGCGAAACACTAGCCAGGCAGTGAAAAGTGTGAATAGTGTTAGTGGTCCCAATCCGTCGATACCGCTCCTTTAAAATTGTTATCAAAGATACACCACACTCTGAAAGGCTTATTGTCTGAAATATTGACAAAATAATAAGTCGTCGTATTGCACAAAAACCCATTTGGAACGATTCCAATAAAGCTGGATACAAAAATAAGCTTGATCTATGGGTTCCACACCTCATGGACCCAATGCTCAAATGCGAATCGCTGCTGAATTGCAACAAAATGCAGATACAGATGCATTTCTGAAACGGATAGTTACTTGTGATGAAAAGTGGATCGGTTACGACAACCTCAAGCGTAAATGGTCGTGTTTGAATTTCAATGAGCGAGCATAAACGATGGCCAAGCCAAAACTGACACTCAAGAAAATTTTGGTATGTGCTTGCTGGGCTTGGCAGGGTATGGTATAATATGAGCTGCTCTGCTCTATTCGGAACTGTACTGTCAAAAAATAAACCGTGTGTAGAAAGCAATGTCCTAAAAGCGACCAGGTTTGGCCAATAGAAGAGGAGTTTTGATCCATAAAAACAACGGAAAGGCACACACTGATCGACAGTGATTCGACTGAAGCTCCGGGAGCTTAGTTGGGAGGTTCTTAAACATCGAACTTATAATACTGACCTAGCACCAAGTGATTACTACCTGTTCCTGTCTACAGTAAATGATTTTACTGGTGAAGAGTTTGCCTCAAGAGAAGCTTTTGAAAATCAACTGTCTTACTTGCTTGCCAATAGGTATGAAGGTTTCTATGATGATGAAATGGTATTATGAAATTAACTTCAAAATGGCAACGATTTATCGAACAAAACGGTATGTATTTGATCATATTTGAATTATTCTAATTGTGCTTTATAAAATCTTCAATTTAATGCAAAAATTATCGATTTCGTTTCACTAAACTTTATAGTAAGTTTTTCCAACTGAGCAAAGATTTGTCTGCTGTAGCAACACTTGAGCTATATATGAGCAACCACCTTTATAAATATTTGTAAACTTAAACCTTATTTATTTTATTACAAGCTCAAGTCACAGCCAATTTAAGACAATCAATAAATTTGGAATAAAAATACTTTTCCATATAAATATATTTAAATATCGCAAAACATTCGAGTAATTTCCAAACACACACGCACACATTTACTCACACACACCAATCATTTAAGCCAACTGCAGCATTTGCACTGCAAGCCAGCTGTTTCTTTTTTTTTTTGCTCTGCTGTTACCTTTATTTGTGCAACTTTCGGCTGCCTAAAGAGCATATCAAATATGCAACTGCTGTTGTGGCACGCTTGACAGGCAGTTCGAAGTTGCAGAAAGCCATGAGACCACTATAAAATTTAGATTTTAGACTACTGTATAAAATGCCGGTAAACAACAGCAACAACTACAAAGGCAACAACAACAACACAAACCAAAAAATCCAAAAATCTGAACATTTTTAGTTGCAAGTCAAATATTGATGCAACTGCTGCAACACAGTGGCTTTTCCAGCCTGCACGTCTCGTTTATTGGTTTAACTCTCCACCGGTTGCAAGTCATATTGATTGTTGTGCAGTTGCCACACACATCAACATGCACAAACACACACCGAAATATTTATAGTTTCAAGCGTCATGTATTTAATAGTGAGCATTTATTAGAGAGGCGGTAGTTAAGGGGATTGTTGGTGTGGAGAGAAGGGTTGTAGATATGAGGGACAAAGTTTTGGATGTTGTGGATGTGAAATAGAGGGTACAAAGGGTTTATAGGCTGTATGCCGCCTATCGATATTTATGTATATTTGCATTTTTTCGGTTGCTGTAGCATTGCTGCCACATTGTTGGCAAATCTTTTATTGCCACATGCCACAAATACATACAGAAGTAGATAGATGCGTAGGAAGCAGAGGCACAAAAGTGCACAGCAAGTGCAAACAATTGTTGGTTGCTTTGTTGGAAGTGGCATTTTGAGAGTATATATGTATATTTGTGTGTGTGTGTGTGTGTGTCTCCATGTTGCAACACGCTTGTCACATATCAATGAGGATCTACTCCACACGAAACTCGCCGCAGTAAACCAGCAGCGACCATTCAACCAAAGCGACCGTCTGACAGCGCTGCGCCTCAGCTATGAACTGCCACAATGTCGACCGAAAGCCCAAACTCGTCCAAGCAACAATTGACAATTCTAAGCCGGCATGTTGCATGGCTAAAGCAAGTGTGCAACACAAGTGCTTCACATGCAACACACAATGCTGTTGCAAATACACTCACCATGCAACTACCTTTTTTCTTGCCGCTACGTGTGGCATGTGTCCACTTTGCATTTTATTGAAAAGTTTTGCCAGATTTTTATTTGTTTTTCCAAAACACAAATGTCCAGCAGCAGTGCGGCCCATCAGTCAGTTTGTCAATCAGCATACGCCACTCCGCTTGCTTTCCACCAGCCTCCACTGCATAGTTATGCTCTTCTCTGTTAGCTTTTCATGCGTTTTTTTTTCTCTTTCTATTGACATTTAAATTTCAAATTTTTCAAATCACCTCTTTTGCTGCGCAGCTCCTGTTTGTTGCTCGTTACTTGCCAACTCGCTACTCGTCAGTTCTTGTGCCCTTTATTCAAACTGTTTTCTATTTTCATTTATGCTTCACTGCATTTTTAATGGAATTTTGTATAACTTTAAAATTTTTGTTTAATTGCCACACGGTTGCATATCTCAATACGCAAAGTGTCTATAGGTATGTGTCCAGTTCTGTGCTGTGAAGGTTTGAGTTGAGTTGGTTGAAGGAACCGTTCAAAAGTTCGGAATATTGCTGTTGTTGCGGTAAAAGTTTTTCATTACGAAAAAGTAGAGTCTTAGTTGAAATTGAAAGTTTGGTCAACCTTTTTAATAGTATTTGTGGTTATGGTGACCCGTAGGAATAGTGAGTTCCCAAAATGTAATTACATAACTAAGGGTGATGAAGCTAAGTAGTACTGAATGAGGTCGCAAAGAATATTCGAAGACTTTCTAACCTTCTATAAGCGACATATATGAAGACTAGGAAGTATTTCTAGATCTTTACTTCAAAGAGCCCAAGTTTTCAAGATCTCAACATAACGCAACTCACTTCAATGGACTGGGAAGGAAGATTGGAAGAATTATTAAGCTTTTAGGTGACATACATATACGAAGACTAAGGATCTTGCTGTCCACTCATTTCTCAAAGGAACCGACCGTATCTATTTTAGATCTCTATAGGGTCTGCAGTGTCGTCTTTATATATTAGGTACACAAATTTATCTAAGAGAGATTCAGTAAATCCTCATCTGTTATTTTTCATAAAAGAGTGAAGTCTAAATAATATTTTTTTTTGCTTTTTAGAACAGACATGGTTCTGGTCCTGCTATCCCTGTTTCACTGGTCTTCGGTCTTTTTTTTTTCAGCTAAAACTTTATATACATATTTTGGCTTTAGAGGTTCAAAGAATAATACTTATGTAACACATATATGATAGGTTGAAAAAAATAAAAACTGCTTCCGACTAATACAACCCTGAAATTAAATCGCTTTTATAAACTCTGAAGTGATTATATAACTAGCGAAATGTATGTCTAATATATACCAGTTACTATATTCGATTGTGTTTATAGTTTAATTTGAGGTACTATCTCAGTGTTATATAATTTTCCTAGCTGGCAGCTAACAAACAATCATATTTTGCAGCTTTTCTAATATTTATACATATACATTTATAAACTTATTTACATAAAGACATCTATGTACACAGTCAGTACTAATTGGCATTTTGCAAAATTTATTAAAGTTTGTATTCCTTTATTTTGGAATTGGAAAAGTCTCAGTTAATAAAATGACCCATAGTACGTACGGAGAACAAACATACTTTCCAAGGACCAATGAAGGGAAAGTTAAAAATTCAGATGAAAATATAAATATTTCGTTTATGAAAGTGATGCAGTAAATACAAACACAGATCTTGTATACGAAATATGTTGAAACTTCATCAAACAACGCATTTCAACCAAACAGTTTACTTTTAAAAAGCTAACAGCAAAAGTTGTTAGTGATTTTTTAGAAATAAAATCCAGTGACCTTGTTATCGTGAAAAGCTATTTTTGTGTTATAAAGAACAAGGTAAACGGAAGAAAATGTACGGAACTATAATAAGAGAAAAACATAAACGAAGTTGTTCTGGAAGAAATCTTGGTTAGGGTCAAGGAACAATTTCGAGAACTTTTTAGGCTATTTCTATAATAGCAATCGCAAGAAAAATTGAGAGAATATGTGATGATCAGTATTAAAATCCAGAGGTGAGTCTCTCCGACCTTTTGGAGTACTAATATTTCAATAGTTTTAAGTTTAATTGCAACAATTATGCAGCTCGCTGCAAATATTTATAAAAAAAAGTAATGATTAAAATAAGCTTTTCTTTTTACTCACCAATAATCTCACAGACCATAAAGACTAAACACAAGACACTAGCGATGATCAGTTTCTTACGAGCCTTCAAGTCCACACCTTCGGTTCGTTGACGATGGCAATGATCGCGCACTAAACGAGAAAAGGAAGGATAATAAATAAAATTAAAATATTTATAAGAAATGTCAATCAAAAAACGTAAATTTTGTACTTTATTACTATGAAACAAATTTTTACTATGAAAATAAATATGCAAACATTTTTATACCCTGAACAGAGTATTTGAAGTTTGTCACGAAGTTTTTGACACCCAGAAATGATCAACGTGACGAGCTGAGTTGCAAGTTTTGTGATATCCATCTAAAAATGTGTAAACGGTACTTTGTCGGAATCGCTGATTTTGGACAATTACAGCATATAGCTGATATACAAACTGAACAATCGGAATCAAGTTCTTGTGAGGAAAACTTTTTAATTTGATGATTATTTCAATTTGGCACAGTTTATTATTCAAGGCAAGCTATAGTAGCGGAGCAAATTATATAGATCGGTCCACTGAAACATATAGCTGCTAAGGAAACTGACCGATCAAATTCAAATCCTTTTACATTATTTTATGCTATAAGAAGTGCACCTGTGAAGAGTACGCTAATTTATGTATCACCGAAGTTAACGTTTTTTCTTGTTAGATATGGCAACACTAAATCTTTCTTCTAAATTTTAAAATAACTGCCAACTAATATAACAAAATGTATTTTTTGTTTTCATTTTTATAAGTTTATACATAATTACTTTCTAAATTTTGCTGAATGTTATTAAGACAGACTGCAAAAAAAAAATTAATTAAAAATATGTTAAGCACGATTCATTTTCTTCAGAGTTTTTCATTCGTAGGCACTGTAATTCTCATATGTTTAATGGAATAAATAAATAAGAATAACTGAAACAAGAAGTAAACTCTAGTAGGCAATAAACCTGCATTAATACCTATATTATTTTATGATATTTTTATCGACATATTGTGTAATCTGAAAGTGTGTGCGAGTTTCAATTATAACAGTTTCAGTATTAAAGTATTTCTAGCCGAGATTTTATTTAGAAGTCTACTTATGCAGTTAACCTAAGCACAAACTCATCTTAATACGGAAATTTACATATTATCGCTTCATCTCTTACTATTTCTTACAGAAAGAAGTATTAATTAAGTGAAAGCATCTTATTCTTGCTAATGGCTTGCAACGCTTTCTAATGATTTAGACTGCTGAATCCCAAGTTTACAACAGCTCCATCTTCTTTTCCATTTTTCATTATTTTAATCGGGCATACCAATAGTAAAATTTTGAGATAAATATTACGCTGAAAACAGTTACCATAACTCTGTAATCTAAAATAGTTTCTGACATCTATAAAATTAATTAATCTAGAGCTTAAACCAAATACATTATTTCGAACTCTTGTGATATGCGGGCGGAGGCACACCAAATCAGAGTGACCGTGTTAAATTAGCTTGGTAATCACTTGCGAGTATAATTATCTTGAACTCGAAATATAGATAATTTTCAACACCAAATTAAATGACAACTCCGCTAGAACAGTAGCTTGAAATATTAGGACTTGATTCTCAAAAAATAATGTGACCGAGTTCCGCCCCCTAGCAAGAAACCACTTAGATAGTTACATATACTACTAGTATAGCATAGAGAAGGCTTGTAATGTAATTTTTAATGAAAGGGATTTTCTTTCGTTATATTTTATGCCTAAGATTCGGTATGAATATCATACTAGTTTAAAAAAATATTAAGCAATGGTCAATGAGTAAATCTTGACCATATTTATAGTGTCAGCAAATATTTTGGAAAATTTTAAAAGTTTGATCAGTTCGAAACATTTCGATCGTACATAATGTTTTTGTTAGGAGAAATGAAATCGTAAAACACTTAAAAATCGGCTTTCTAGACTTAAATTTCAGCACTAAGTGATAAACTTAAAATCTTCGAATCATACTGGAACGAAACATTTTCCGTTGTGCATGGTTATGTGCTAACCCTCAGTGACTCTTGCTAGTCGTTTTACCGTTATGAATTGCTGCATGTGGCATTTAATCACTTAGTCTTTTTTGGCTTACATACATTCCAATTTCACAGGCGAAAAAATCTAATTTTAATGCAACAAACATTGCTCAAGACCACAAATTCATTGAACCATTTTCTTTCTGACGCGCATAAATTTTGCAAAATTGAGAAAAAAAAATGTTCAAACAACGCACAGCGCTTTAAAACCATTCGCCATAACGACTTTTCAATTCAAAATGAATTATAGTCAAGCAACCTGAAGCGAGCTACACACTGGGCAGGAGTAGCGGCAACAGCGACGGCGACAGCGCGTACACCATATGCAAATAATAACCCGACAAAGTAGCGGAAAGCGCAATCGAACGGCAATGGCATACAGAGGTGCTTTGGAGAGTACATAAATGTATACATATACATCTATATATATATATATGAACATATATATATATATATAAATACATAGATATATGGCACGAACTGCCACTACCAGCCGACTGATTGCCACTTTGTTGCCGCCTGAAAGTCGATTAAATTCTTTATTGCATTTGTTGCAGTTGCACCCCACCCCAAGCACCCTCAACCAGCTTTCCGAATCACTACAGCGCTCTACAGCGCGTCAGTGCAAGCTGATCGAACAGCACGACTGCCACGCGACACTCATATTCCAGTGCTGACAATGTGCCAACTGCTTTTTGAGTGGAGAAATTTTTTTTCAAAAAATAGTTTAAAGAAAATTCAAAAACAGAATAAAACGAATAAAAAATTGAATTCGCCAACTTTTATTTGCCTTTTCGAATTTTACTTTTGAAATTGTATTCCTTCTCTCATTTGATTTGTTGCACTTCTTTTGTTAAATTTTCCACCGAACACATATACATCTTCATATACATACATATTTGTGTGTGTGTGCGTGTGTCTTTCGCATACTTTTTCAATTTTGCAATGCAAACAGTTTTTTTGTGTCCTCGTATTTTTCTGCGATATTTGCATGCTTAATGTGTGTGTGTGCGCCGCGCGTAACTCTGCCAAGAAGCCGAGAAGCCGTGCGCTTTCGGAGGCGACCAACGCTCACGCAACACAAGTGGCAACAAAATTAAATTCCTTTCAACTTCATTTTGCTACTTTCTTTCTCTTATATATTATTTCTTTCAAATATTCGATGACTTTTTGTTGACAGCATTCGTCTTTCTTTACGTCATGAAAATGGTGTATATTTTTTATATTTGCGAAACAAAGTATCCCTAAGCATATATCCGACTATCATGGTTTATTTAGTGGTGAATTTCCGAAAGCACATATTTTTACTAAACTTTAGGTAAATTCCAAGAAAATAATTAGGTGGGATAGAAGTAAAACCACCTTCCTTAAAAGGGGTAAATAATAGCTACGAAGTTGAAATTAATTTCCGTCGACCAATTTGATCTTGGCTTGATTGTGTACAAATATGAACGCATTCAGTTGAAAACTACACCCAGCTGCCGTAGAAAAATTTATTTGTTTGTGTTCAGTTAGGCGCTTGCATGTAGATATAGAGTTTAAATTCATAACTGTCGACTTATTTAGTCATCGCTTAGTTGTGTCCGAAAATAAACGCATTCAGATGAAAATTACACCTAGCTGTCATATATCAAATTATTTGTTAGTGAGCTAGTAGGTTCAAATTCGTATGTATGGAGTTGAATTTCATAAGTGTCGACTAGTTTTGTCATCGGGTCCAGAAATGAGCGTGAAAAAAATAAAATTACACCTAGCTTCCACAGACACGTTAACTGCTTTGACCTTTGATAGGTGCAAAAATTAAGGTATGGCGCTAAAAATAATTTTTGTCGACTAATTTTGTCAATGCATTGTTGTTTCGAAAAATGGTTGTGATTAAATGAAACCCAAGCCCAGCTGCCGTATAAAATTTTAATATTTTAACCTCTGGCAAGTGTATATATTAGGCTAGGAAGCTGAAACTCGGTATTGTCAAGTAATTTAGTCTATTAATAAATATGCCAGGAAATAGTTTTGATCGGGAAAAAATTGCAAATAACTGCCAGATAGAAAAACATAACTATATTTGAAGTAAAAATCGGTTTTGTCAACTCATTTCAACACTGCATACATATATGTAAATAAGTAAAAAGTTTATTGGGTTTCAGTAGAATACTTTAACTTTTAGTCTTCCGAAATTATTTACATTTCCTTACTTAACCCAAACTTTCTTTAATAATCTTTCTTCTAGTCGACTTCAAAACTGTTTGTTCTGCACTCACGGTCGCCAAAGTGCCGGTTATTCGCTTAAATTCTACCGCAACAACCTCTGGCCTGCTCGTGCACAGTTATATCTGCAAACACTCAGACATTCAGTGCTAGCACACACATTTCTACACACTACCTGATCGGCCTGTCCGTTGCACCCCAGAATTTCCATTGAGTCAATTTTTGGGTTGCAGCGCAAATTTTAATTGATTCTCCCTTTTAACTAGTTCGCTTCCACTTTGCTACACTTGAAAAGGTATACTCGTACCTACACAACAACAACAATAGAAGAAAATATTTAACAAATAAAATAAATAAGTAATTAACGGTAAAAAAACTGTTGCTCGCCCTGCTACAGGTGCCCCACGAACGAACAACAACCAAAGTCTGACTTTTAAGGACACTCTTCCACTTGCGCTCTCAACGTGGTACGGCGTTCGTGAGCGCGTGGAAAAAGGTGGCGCATGAAAAGGTAAAATTAAATCAATTTCGTTTGCAGTCGGCGAATCTTTTCTTTTTTATATCTTTTTTCTTTTCGAGCAGTGATGTGTAAGCGGCTGAGCTGCAACAATTCAAGCTATCAGTTTAACTCCTCGATCATTTTTATTAAAATTTAATTTCCAACTCCCTCTTTCTTTTTATCCATTGTGGCATGAATCATGTACTCGTTTTTTGAGTGCGTATATGTGCTAGTTGAGGAAATGTTATCTGGAGTTCAAAGGAATTTTTCCCGCAAAGCTTAGAGTTCAACTAAACGAATGGAAAAGTCAGGAGCAGATGGACTTTTTTGATAGGTAAATCTTTAGGAATTAAATT